TAACAGCAAACTAGAAGTTTAGGAAAATTTCAGTCATATAATAGTGTCTGCTATGAGCTCTGATTCTATGGCTTGTATTCCATGAAATAAGGTAAGAGTTAATGAACCACAGGCCAACAATGTTTCATGTTTCACACCAAACTCACAATCCTTACTAGGCAAACCTTACATAACTGGCAAATTTATTCTCACATTTAATGCAATGCATGCCTTAGAAAACAGGTAGACAAACAAATTGAGCTTAAACTGCCGTATTTACTCGTTTAAGCGCTGCGATGCACCTAAAAAATTTCCCAACTTTAAAGGTACTTATGTATCCCTCATATGTAAATTGTTATAAGAACTCTTAAAAAACAAATAAACAAATTTTAAATACATCCATTTTGAATGGATAATTTTTTAATGAGGAATGGTGAATATTTGTATCCTATTAACCTCCTCAACAATTCTAATGGTTTGTCGATTAAGCACCACATTTGAAAGTAATCAAAATAGCACTTATTCTGGGCCAGCGCTCTTAAAAATGATAATCGTCACTGCGGCATTTAAACTAGTAAACACGGTGTTTGGGTTTACTACCTTAGACTTGAATAATCTTCATTGCTTCAAAACTTTTTTTAATCTTTATACGGAGCTCGTGTCTAAAAAATCTAAAAAATTCATCAAACACATCTTTGTTAACGCCGCAATAACAGAATTCCAAGCTTTCACTATTTACTCGTTTTGGTATATAAGATTGCACGGTGGCAGTTTTCGTCTTTGCATTGAAACCTTTTTGGCGTAACCAGGTCAACGAAATGAATTCATGTCAAAACACTTGTTCCCAACGGTACAGATGTGCAGTGTTGGCAGCATATTTGGCAATTGAAGCATGCTTTGCCTACCTTCCTTCCATTGAACTTAAACCCAACCCTAAACCATATTTAGCTTTGAACTCAGCAGTATGCTGTAGAACAAGATTACCAAGTGACTTTATAATTGGATTCACGTTAGAAAAGTATAAGCAATAAACTCGATAAATATGAGTTCAGGGTAACTTTAATTTACAAACCTGTTCATCTGTCACAATGATTGGACTAAATAATGAAACAGCATCTCGCAAGCACAGGTTAAGGTAGGCATGGACATGATTTAGAAGTACTGCTTGTTGGCTGTTAGCTCCACTTTCTAAAATATCAATAATTTATACAAAGTTTTGTAAAATAATCTTGAATCCTTACCACTGAAGCGATAGTCAAACTTTTCCCATTCCCTGCTTCATTGAACCATCTAATAATCTTCTTTGCCAGCCTTTGTGAATGACACTTTCCTCTTAAAATCTCAAGAAATTTGTAGTTTAGTAATAAACCATGAAAAGGCAAGCAGTTCCCACCGCAATTAGCATCAAACAAAAGATAGTTTTCATTGCTATTTAGAACACTTTTACAGATGGTCAAAAAACTAACAAACCATGAGCAAGCAGTGTCATGTTTTCCAAATGGAGCACCACCACCCCCAAAAGCAGTACAAAACTTGATAAGTTTATAAAAGGTATGAAATGTGTACTGATAACTACATAAATAGAATTCAGCTAGAGTTGATGCCAGATGCTCAATATCTCTGAAACAACCATTCACCTTCTCACACTCCTCCATAACATCATGTAACTCTTCCCGAGAGCTGTGCAACTTACCAATATCAATGGACTTAATATATGACATTAACCTTTGGTAAGGAACACGTTTAGGAGTGGGAAAATTAGCAACACTTACACGCACTGCTCGATTCTTCTTTGAAACCTGCATATACAAGCTACCTTTATAAACTGACCTGTAATTATCTCTACCAATTATCCCACTACTGTAATATACTGCAATTAAACGAAGCATATTCTCATTTGAGCCATCAAACTGCACCAATCTTTTTTTATATACCCTTGGTAGCACATTGTTCTTGATCCTTTTTCTCTTTTTTATTGCTGTAAAAATATCCTTATCTTTGCACTTCTTTTCCAGAGTCTCAACCATAACAATTGCTGCTGGTGTCATTTCTTCTAAGCTCCCCCGATGTATTGCACAAGCTGCCCCCAATGTCCCTTGTGTAAACTGCTTTGCTGATGACTCCATGCAGATGGGTTTTCAGTTGGCGATGAAAGCCGTCAATTCAGTGTTTTTCTTCTAATGGTAAAAGCTTCCCTATCTTTCCCTAACTTACTTTGTTGGACTTCATTAATAATCTCCTTTATAATAACAGTTACTTCTTCTACTTCACTAACAGAATTAGCTACCTATACCAATAACAACCATAGTGACTTTTACAGCTATATGATTTGATAAATTGAAGGATAGACAATTTGTGTGGTCTAAGTTTTGCTGTCAGGTGGAGAAGGACATACGCAAAGTAAAAATTAATTATAATTGTCCGCATTTGCAATAAACTACAATAACAATAAATTAAGTGCATACAGGGGAATTTTGATAATTTTCTACGATGAGTTTTACGTTTTAGGTTAACAGAGATGTTCATATTTTGTACTGCTTGAGTTAAAAGTGAATATTTAGTAAAACCTTCGGCCTCATATTCGTAGGTAACTTGCCTTCTTTACGTTTTGCTGGCAGACATATTATTCCCAAGGGAGGTTTAACATTGTTGATATCAGCATAAATACAAGCATAAGCACAAGATTATCAAAGAGCACTTCTCTTTATGAACATACCTTGTAATCTTATCTTTTCAGCTTTTTGGTTATAGCCTGACTTTTTTTAGATAACAGCTCTCTCTTAATCCATGTTGTTCGTCACTGTTTCATGTATAGGCCAACATTGAACCGCTTACATTGTGATGCTTTTGGCCGCCGCATTTTAGCACTTGTATTGGCAAAATTAAAAAAAACATAAGATTTTTTACAGACAAATATACTTCAATATTGCGGTGGCAATATACACAAATCATAAGAATTAAAATAAAAATAAAATAAAGATCAAAATAAAGATATTAGTACATACACAAAATACATCACATACATACAAAATAAAATGCACACACAAAATACATTTTACACACACCACATAAAAATACACACACAAAATATCATCGCGGGCATTTACAGTGTCGACTTACTTGGAATTGCTCGGAATTGATCTCGAATGTTTTTTTAAAGTTCCAATGGTTCCAACTTCCAGAGTACATAACAAATTTCACTTATTTCACTCTGATCAATTATATTCAAAGTTGCTTACGATATTGTTCTCCGTATTCTTGTTAAAATTTAGGCTAATGTGTTGTCCTGGTTCGGTGGTTCCGTCTCAGTCTCCGAATCAAACACGCACTGCGATCATTGTTTAGCAGAGCAAAAGCATAACCTGTTATCAGCGTGTTTATCATTAGACGCTTGATAACAGGTTATTTCAAGCGTGGTTATCCGTATGGGCAATCTTCAGACTTTTGAAAACCTCCGATATTTGATGCTTATACGAAAAGGCATTTGTGACAAAAAGAAACTTCGTCAAGCAATTCTGCACTACAGTTGGCACTAAACATAAATATGCCAGGAGCGTGCGGCGCAATTAACGGTAGTTACTATTCACTATGTGAGCATTCTCGCCCGTGATTGGTCAACCACCTGCAGATATTTCTCGATATTTGTAGGTCATGACGTCAAAACCTACAGATAATAGTTTCTACAAATATGGAACGAGTAAAAGCCGGTTTTGAAAACAAATCAAACAACAGCGATGTTTGGCACAGTTCCTAAAAACGATGTGAAAGCTTTTAAAGGAAAAGGCTGCGGAAAACTTTAAAAAAGCGGCGAAGCTGGCACTGAACACATTTAATTTACAATATATTTAAGCGACACGAACTGAATAAACCGTCTGACAAAACGAATTAGCGAAGGCTTAAAAAATGTTTTATATTGATATGTTTTGATAATACCTCAGTGAATAATAAAACAATTGTTGAATTTGTTGTTCGCATGATATCAAGAATTATTCAGACCTTGGTAAATGTTATCTGCCTTAGCTGTGCTTCGACGGATATTAATGTCATCGGTCTGAATAATTCTTGATGTCATGCTCAACCTCATCCAATAATTACTCATTGTTTCTCTTAATGATTTTTCGCTTGAGTATCGAAAAGCTTGCTTTCCATTCCTTTCCAAATGTCATTTAAAATATTTGCAGTTATAACTGTTAAATACGACCACAAGTACTAGTCGACCACATTTTAAAATCACAATTACACATATCACCATAACAGCGTAAAAGCACTATTGACATTGCGCATTTAATAAAACGACACTTTTTAAAATAGACATGTTTCGACATCTCATGATGCCATCTTCAGTATGAGTGGAGTAATAGGTGATACAAGGTTATATAAAAGTAATGTGATACATAAATTACAACAATAATAACGAAATAAGATAAAGTAATGGGGAGCGTCCGAGCGTATAATAAACTAAACATTGTATTGAATCTAAATACTTAAGCATTGAGGTCAGGGTTAGTTTTGTTGATGTGGAGTGCTTTTTTCATTTTAAAGGAAAATGAGGTGTCGGCAGTGTCGATAATTTTGAAGCGAGAGGGTGAATACTTAGTTTTACATGAGTGAGATTTAAGGTGTTGGTAGATATGAGAGTTTTTGTCTGTTGTGGTATGTTCCCTGATTCTGGTGGATAAATGGCGCAAAGTTTCGAAAATGTGTCGAGAATTATATCCCTCGAAATTGAATTCATATACCACCATTAATTGAATTGAATCAGGGATTGGGTCTTTGAATGGGAAAAGGTTTTTGATTTTGAATGATGTAAAAGGTAGTCGAATGTCAGTTTCTGTACAGAAGCTTTTCATAATGTTTGTAAGTCTGCAATGTGTGTGTCGTGAGTAAGGTCAGATGTATGGTAGTTTGAAGTATAGAGTTGTTATTTTGGAATTTTCATTTGTGTTGGTCGTGTCAGGAGTTTCGGTGTCCAGTTTGAGGTTCTTGCTTTGTTTGTTGTCGAGATATCGTTTTATGATTCTATCAACAAAGTGTAGTCGGAAGAGTTTCGTAAAAGAGTGGATTCACATCCACTCGAAATTGTAATTTATGTATCATATTACTTTTATATAAACCCTGTATCACCTATTATTTTACTCATACTGAAGATGGCATCATGAGATGCAGAAACATGTCTATTTTCAAAAAAGTTGTCGTTTATATTAAATGTGTATTGGCAATAGTGCTTTTACGAAATTTTGGAGACAAAATGACGCGTGACTATGGTCATGGAAAGAAATGATTACTTCGACAAAATGGTCACCCTTGTTAATAACAGACAAACGTACGAACAACTCAAACGAGACCCAACACCATCACAAATACGCAAACTTAATAGCAAGATCTTCTCCATGAGAAAATGTAACATTATATCTGAACGTATTTACTATCGACTTAGTTATTCAGTAACACGACCACTCAGACTGTACGGACTACCGAAATTTCACAAACTACAAATACCCATGCGACCAATTGTATCATTTTGTGGTTCACCTACTTACGAACTCTCAAAGTACTTTACTGACAAACTGCAACCACTTACAAGCAAATCAAAACACAAGCTACAAACCACTGAAACTTTCATTTAAAAAATGAGCACTATACAAATACTGGACAACTATCTACTAGTATCGTTTGATTTAAAATCGTTGTTCACCCCTTTTTTACTTAATCTGGAATATACTTGTACAAAAACCTTCATTACAAATACCACGGACGTATTGCCATTGCCGACAGAAGACATTATGGAGTCACTGGAGCTCTGCCTCACCTCGATTTACTTCCAGTTCAAAGGTACACGCTACAAACAATTACATGGAAAAGCAATTGGCTCACCCGTTTCTGTTATAGTTGTTGTAATTGTAATGCAATCTATAGAGGAACAGGCGCTCACGACTTACAAACATGCACTACCTGTTTGGTTCCGCAACGTGACACAATCACAGCACTACATGCAGACAAGATAGATGGCTTTCTCTCTACATCAACAAACAGAACAGCCACATAAAATTTACCAAAGATGTCGAAGAAAACGGAACTCTTCCTTTTCTCCATTGATTGGTGAAATAGGACAATCAAAAACTGCGAATAACAGTTTATCGCAAACCAACACATACTGACCTACCACTAAACCAGTCATCTTACAAACCTACATCATACAAAATAACCACAATCAGAACATTACCAAGACGTGCCCAAATCATTTGTGATTCAACGAACGCTTTAGACAACGAAAACAACCATCTCAAACGTGTTTTTGACAAACACAACTATAACTCTGACTTCTTCAAACAAAACACTTACGAAGCCAACGATCCAACCGAATAACTCAGCGACTACAGCAATCATACCTTACATCAAAGGTACGTCTGGGACAATCTCGCGTATTTTAATACAATACAACATACGTGTCGCACATAAATCAATCACAACGTTACGACAAGGTGCAGTTTACAAAATAAACTGCTCTGACTGCTACGCCTCCTATATCGGGGAAACTGACAGGAACTTAAACACAACACTTACTGAACACAAACAAGCTACAAAAAAAGAAGACAAAACTAATCACCTTACCGAACATCACTGACTCACAAAGCACAACATTGACTGGGACTCGGCAAAATGCATCATATACAGCACTGACTAAAGACAAGGGCTTACATTAGAAAGTTTTTATACCAACTTAGAAGAAACACCCCAGAACATATCACAGCAATACACCACTTTGGCGGTTTTCATATATGTGAAAACACGTGTTTGCTAAAGAGAAAAACTTGGACAAACATGGCGGAGTAATTTTATAACAATGGTTACGACGAAGAGATGCGCTTGGTGTACGAAAGACAGTTATTTTGCAGTCTTCATTTTGTGAGAAAAATGGTCCTACTGTAGATAACCCAGACCCTATTTCAGCGATACAAAGTATTGAGAATGTAAGTGTTGACTGCTTTTTGTCATAAATGTGTGACTTATACGAAAGCTTGCTGAACATTTTATAAGCTTATACATTCATTTTAAATTCATATAGAGAAGAAAACTAACGGAAAACAAAAAAACCAATGACGAGGGTATATAATCCGCCACCAAAACGAGCGTCAATCTCAAAAAGATGCAGCAGAGGCCCTTCTTTGCTTGAGCAAAAGGGAACACGCTAAACGAGACGCAGCTGATGGCCTCCTATCCTTATGTGAAAATAGTACAACATCCCGTGATATCCAAAATGACCAAGACGAACTTCTTCTTGTTTTAAAGAAAAAGATGCTGCTGTTCAAACCAACCTAACTAATGAACATCTTAAAACTTATGCGACTGATTCATTGGTTAACACCAGCAGTATACAGAAATGCATGTTTTAGAAAATGTGGTTAATGATTCAGCCCATTATACAGGTATAAAATTTCATTTTTACTATGCTAATTATAACGGGATATAATTGCTTATGTTGGAAGCTAGTGGAAATAATAAAGGACTTTGTGAGCTACTCTGATTTAATTTATCTGTAGGCCTATCCGGTGAAATGTTGAAAATACTTTTGAGTTTGTGAAAGCAAAGGCTTCCAGGCTTATCAAATGGAAAGGGAAGAAAACAGCGAATATAAACAAGAAAAAAAGAGCAGTGCTAGGGTACAGTAATATATAATCATACATATTGCTCAAGTAAATACTTAAGTAATTAGTTGTGTAATGCAGTTAATAGCTACCTATGTGTAATGAATGATAAGCACTTAATCATTTTATAGATCCACAAAACTTCTACATGGCTAAACTTTCAGTTTATGAGCAATTTATATTCACATTGGTCAGGATCAAAAGATTCCCTACTCTCAAGATGTTATGTGATTTATTTGGATTGTCAGAAACTGTTGGTAGCAGCATATTCTTGACATGGGTGATTTCTTGAGAAGGCATTAAAGTTATTTATTCCATTTACAACTTTGAAAGACATGGAAGGAATAACCCGGCCTAAAGTTTACGAATCTAATCCATGTCTTCGAGCAATAATTGATTGCACAGAATTCTATATACAAAACCTTCTCTTCCTTCAAGTCAACGTCGGACACATAGTAACTAAAAGGCAGAAACACATTCAAACTATTTATTTCCATGTCACCGCTTCTACATATCAACTATATCTCTACATTGTTCAGTAGTTGCATAAGCGACAAGGAAATCATCAAGAGATGTGAATTGTTTGGAAGAGTTAGCTGCAGGGGATGAAGTCATGGCTGACAATGGATTTAATATCCAGGATTTACTTGCCCTTCAACATGTCCGTTTATTTTCACCTCCAATTATGCATTAAGGTAATGTTTGCACTGGTGAAACAACAATGACAAGGAGAGTGGCTACAAAGAGGATTCACATTGAAAGAATTATTCAACGAATGAAGTCATTTAGTATATTACAACGTGTAATCCCATTAACAATGAAACCATATATTGATTCTGTTGTGTCTATCTGTGCAGCATTGGTTAATTTGCAACCACAGATTATTGCATCAACTTAAAACATTGTATGTAGAACTTTTAAAAATATACAATGAAATATTCATTTGTGTAAGAGATAAATTTAGATCAATGTAGAGTAAACAATCTGTGCAAAGTTCTGTGCCATTTATTTCTTTCCATTGTGGCATTCTTGTTACTGAACCATTTATGTTCCATGACAATGAAATCATTGGGACATTTCTCATATTTTCAATATCCTAAAAATGTTGTGAGATTGAAAAGTAAGCACTCTTCCCTATGTTATTGCATTGAGTACATCTTTCCTATTATTAGGCTCTAACTTGAAGAAACATGTAGTTTCCATAATTACCTTCAAAAAGTAATTAATAAAAAGTGATACAAAAACAGCACAGAGGTTTGAAGAGATTTCCTGCTGTGGGACCTACCAAATAATGCATATAGCAAGATTTATTTGCACAATATGTTTTATTGGTGGCATGATAAGATATCACTTTTAACATATGAATTGAACGATGCTTTCTTTTGATACTGTACTTTTGAAAGGTGTAGTCCAAATATCTTCAGAATGAAAAAGTAAAAATTGTAATCCAACAGTAACATAGCAATGAGAGTAGACATAGTGCAATGGAAAAACAATTACTGTGAAATATATTCAAATGTAGATTTCTTCTCTTTTTATCCCAAGTTAAAGAGTCCAGAACAAGGATATGCCTAAATATGAAATTGGTTAATATTGTAACCTTACATCTTTAAAGGAACAGATGCAATATAACAAATTTTGCTTTTCCTACCATGGTGAAATGATGGCCAAAACCAGTGTAGGCTAAAATAATGGAATAAAATTTTGTTACAATTTTTTCAAAACATTCTGCATTTGTTGTCTAAATCATTTTTACCTTCTGTTGATTGGCACAAACACATAATGTTTTTCAAGTAACTTTGCACTGACAAATTGTTCTGCAGCTTGGATTATTTCTAGTCTACAAACATTAAATACATTGTATCAAAGTAGAATATTTGAAAGATAAGTGCAATATCATTGTCAGTTACTGAAACCTGCTTGATGTTCTTACTTTCAGTTCTTGATCTCCCACAAGAACAGAATAGAATAAAGTGTGTACTATTGGGTATTCACCAGGGGCGGATCTAGGATTTTTCAAACATCAGTCATAATACGTCGGAAGTGCTCCATACCTAGGGGGTGGGGTGGGTCTGAGGCATTCTCCACTGAGAAATTTCGTATTTCAGAGCAGTGAAAATGCCATTTTTAGCGTTTTTTAGAGCAATACAAAAAGTATTTTGTGGGCATCTTTTATCGTAAAAACAACACATTTTGCTTACTTTTTTTTTTCAAAAAATAAATGAAGTGAACAATACTTGAATGTTTTGCCAAATATTTAGGCTCATTATCATGCCAAATATATGGCTCATTACCATGTCTAGGAACGTAAAATTTATTTTACAATAATGCTATTCAAAAACAGATATACTCTTTAAAAATTTCTACCAAGTTGTCAGGCATAGACCCCCCTAGAGACCCCCATTCAAACCTCTATGTAATGAGATAAGTTAGAAATTTGGTACTACAAGTTCATATATATAGAAAAGCTCAGACTTCAAACCATGCAAGTTTATTGTAACCCATCTCCACATCAGTGCCAAATTCACTTTTGAGAAAAACTCAAAATTTTTTTCTGCCAAAGATTAAGCAAAATTATCAGAGTGAAAATTTCCAGTTAAGGACAGCTTAATGCCATAAATGTTTATTAGGCATTTCACTAGACTAATATCCTCTGTAAGTATATGCAAGGTGTGCTATATAGCAATCACTAGTAGCATTGTATTTGCAAATACAAACAGAATGTAACCAACATGTCTTTAATTATATAATTACATGAATGTTAAAATTGTCATGGTCATGCTTACTGGTTATGATAAATATCTTTTCATATGATCAAAGCTCGTTTAAATGTAAATCTGAAATAATTTAGTTTAGAAATTATAATGATCATCAGAAAAATTACCTAGTGATCATGAAAACAACTTTGCTGTTTTGCCAAATTTCAAGGTTTATCTGCATACATAGGAAGACATTTTTACTTTATAGAAAATGCTTTTCATACATCAATAGCCTTTTGGAATTTATGGCAAACAATCTGGTATGAGCCGTAGATTAACACACCTTTACATCTCTACATGAGGTGTTCAGTTAGAAAAGGGACAATATGTGACATGGGACAACATTTTATGTATGTGAAATATTCAGGTTTAATACCATTGCAGTCAAATTGTCAAAATAAAAAGCTTCATGGATCAGAAGACTCAAAATCACAGGTTATAGTAAGCAGCTTCTCATGTAATCAATGTTAGTTTTCTCAAATCTTAAACAATATGTAGTATAACTGTCCAATGATTGAATGATCAATGATCATAAACTGAAAAGCCCCAAACATTTGTTTATGAAAAAGTAAATAATAGTATGGGGCCTTATGGCTACAGATTTTTTGTCCATTGAAATATATTTGCAAGAATGTAGGATTTCGCTGCCATATATAAATTGCCACGATTCACCAAGCAATAAAGAAATCATAGCTAAAAGTCCTTCGGCAACAACAATTTTAGAAGCATCAATCTGCTTACCATACGCCATATTGACATAAATCGCATCACACACTCGCATAAATTGACTTTGCTATATTACATTCATGCATACACTTTACTTGTCTTTTACGATTTTGGATGTAAATTTCTGCTGATAAAACTCAAAACAATGTTGGCTTTCTTTTGAACATCAATGACTGAAATGTCGCTCGCGAGATCGTCTTTGCCAAGCATTTACAATTTATCCATAAATTTTTCACCTTCTTGAAAAAATTCACTGTTTGGACTGCAGCATTCATGTCAATACATGAATTTGTATGAATTTGTAAAAGATTTCCATAAATTCCATCTGATTGTAGTTTAGTTTCTATCACACTTATAAAAATTACTATGAAACGATCAAACATTCAATTCAGACAGTGAGCTTGACAATGTTAGTTCAGTTGGCTGTCAGTCGAAATCCATCAAACCAATCATAATAAAACAAAATTTAAATGAACCAAATGTAAGATAGCAATCGGACACCATTATACGTCAGGCCAACCCTATTATCAGTCGAGACCATTCCAGACTGTCCACTGATCTGGCCATTAACCAATAAAATAAGCGTATTTGGCGTTGATAGACTCCTTTATCCGTCGAACCAGTCAAGCCACCCCGCTTATCAGTTGGTTATTCCAGGTCACCAACTGATCTGGTTACCAACGAGATATTCATTGGGTTAGTGATAGTTCTCAATAATAAATAAAGCTGGATTTTTATCACGAAGTAAATACGATAATAAAGTAAGAATAATTAATGAATTTTTATTTAATATGAATAGGTAATTTTTGAATTTCAAACATCAGTCGTGCGTCGGATTTGACATACTCTAGATCCGCCCCTGGTATTCACAGCAGTGATCACTAGAAATGAAGTTATACAGTTCACTAGCATTAGTAAATTTACTTTGGTAGTGTAATCAACCTATTTGCTTTTTTAAATCAATCAATATTGCAAAGAAAGAATATACCTCATTAATATAGACAAGATTTTGTCTGTAATAAGTCCCTTTGGTTGTAGACTGTCTATGTCTTCTTGTTGCACATCAAAGCCAAATAAGACAACAGACTTCATCGGCGGATCACTGTTTTCTGTCTCTAAGATGCTTACCGTATCATCTAAGCAAATTAAGAAAAAAATTGAGGAGCATAACAAAACATCCTGGCTCTTAATAAACCACTTGATACTTGATATGTGATACCTGTTTTGCATAAAAAAGCAGCCTCTTTTTCATCTTTGTTCACCGGATTTTGTTTATGACCATACTTTGTCTATGTGGAGCCTATCATAAGCAACATTACTACAAGTTAGCTTCAAGTAAATTTGCTAAGGTAACACTCAAATTAAATGCTTACCATGTGTACATTCAGAAGATATCTTGTTCAAAATGCAGAATTTTTTGAACATGTGTGGCACAACCTTGGTAAGCCAAAATTGTTTAAGCTTCAAAGAAATCTTTTGAAAGAACACTGGAGCA